TCTTTTGAAGTTTATCATATGGATTCCAGTTGGACCAACATTATGGTTTACCATCAGCAGCTAGTAATTAAGCTGCAGCTTTCAGAGCTGAGCACATGAGGCAAATGTGCTATATCAGGGATTATGCATTAACCAAGTGAGGACTGGGAATGGTTTATTCACAAAGCAAAAGTATTATCTGTGTGGGGATCAATGTCAGTTAGATTTTTCAGCCTCCTGGGATCGCAGGTGCACAACAATGGCTTTCGCTGTTGCGTTGAGAGGAATTTATATCTTGTACAGTGCCAGTGGAGGAGACGGGAGGAGTGCAATAAAGTTGTCAGTGATGGAGATACAGTGCCTTTGACAGCAGTGACAGTGAGATTTCCGCTCGATGATGTCCTGAATGGAGATATTTGCTTGTATGGCAATTCTTTGTGCACACACCCTAAAGCAGCTGTGAGCTTGAAAAGTAGTCTGTTCTCTGGATAAGAGAAGATTCAAATTATTTCGACAAAAGTTTTCAACAATGACCTTCTGTTGATCTTTAAAGTTAGGTCTCTGGAGGAAGACTGAGGACATTTTGACTGTAATAGAAAACAACAACAACAGCAATAATAATAATTGCATTTTACAGTTGCGCCTTAAACATGCTAAAAAGGTTATTACATTCTGTTAAGTTCTGGTCAGTGAGAAGCTGGTCTTCTTCATCCACTCCGAGATGAGAGGGACACAACATTTACGCATTAATCTAGTTCCAAAGAGCATTATCTTTTTTGCAGTAAGGTGACAAAAATGTCCTGCCTGGAATCGAACCTGGGCTTTGCTCGTGGCAGGTGAGAATTCTTCTACTGAACTACCAGTGTGCCTTCAAAGTGCAATCACATTATTATGGAGAAATGTGCCATAAAACTAGATTAGACAACCCCCCACCCCCACACACACACAATCCCCCCTCAGCCTAAAACATTTTTTGAGTGAGCATTGGGATCGAGTGGGTTGTTCTGCACTGATGGTATTCTGCCTGAGGTAATTGAAGTGAGTGACAAAAGACCCCCAAAAGACATGCATTTCAAAGCACTCCCTTGTTAGGATGAGCATAATGTGTTAACAACATGCAGAGACAAGTTACAGTGTCGTGTTTTGAAGGACAGGTAACTAGCTTACATGCTGACCTGGCCTTGCTTCACCGGAACAGAACTGACGAAAATGGCTCGATGATGCCGAAGAAGCATGGTGGTCTCCTCTTTCTTTTGTTATGATCCTATCTTCGAGAATCTTGAGTTGTTTGGAGGGGCAATGCCATCAATATTTTAACAAGACTGTCTGGAGAAAGGTGTGGTGGTCTCTGTGGGTGGCTTGAGGTGCTTCTGTCTTTCTTCCCAGGCCCTGAGCACAATAAACACTGAGGCTCTCTGAGCCCAGCCAGGGGCGGACGATCTCCAACGCCTGTGATTTATTGAAAATCAAGCAAATGAAAATATCCTGCCTCAGAATTTTATCTAGAAACAAAAGCCTCCCTGCACACTTGTCCTGTGTTTTGTCTACGGAGACTGCACTGCTCTATGGGAGAGTCTGGAATGAGCCCTGCCCAGAACATACTCTGGCTTTAATGGCCTATAAACACCTTTTCTTGTCTGTTCAGAAAACCCAACGAAAAAAAAATAATCCTCTGTGAAATTATAAGAATGAATAAATAATTCTTATAGTTAGATGTTGCCTTGTAGCTTTTTGTATGTCAGATTTTGCTCGAGCCCTTCAGCACTGCACACCACAGATGTATGTACCTAATCTCACTATTCACTGCTGCTGAAAAAAAAATATTAGGAGATGGTTTAAGCACAGCATACATACAGTATCCTGTGTATCCTGGATACTGGAGTAAAAGGGCATCAATGCCTCAGAATCAGTGATGTGACATGTTCTTAACTAAAGTGATGAAACCCAGACTTACTGTTGGGGTGCAACAGTGTATTCTGCAGCTTGCTGGTGTATTTTTTGTTTCATAAATGTTGTCGGTTCTACTTTGCAAGCCCAAGTGCTCGTTCTGTTTTAGCAAGGTCCTTGGTCATCAACACAGCTCTTCTGCTGTGCTGTATAGTAGAAAAGAAGGGAGTGCTTCTATCACCAGACTTCAAATGGGAAACATTTACTGCTGCATTGAGCACTTCTTAACTTCAAGACGGGGAAAAACATTCTTATGGACACAACACTGAAGAAAAGGAGGTCTGACAGTAGTCCTTGAGGGTTTCTTTTGATGTGTTTATTGAGAGGACATAACCTTTCCCCTCTGGAGACCAAGGTTACAAGTATAATGAGTTTGATGCTCTCATATTAGCCTCTAGTGAACATCAACAAAGCAAAACCTGTATTGGCACAGCACAAGACCTTAGCTGAAGGTGAAAAAGATTTAGTACTTTATAGACTGTACAGCCCTTCAGTCTCCTAAACGAGTGGTCACTCTATAGCAGGATATTTGAGACACGGGGGAACAGCATGGCTGAACAAGATGTAGAGGTTTTCTTGAGGAACAAAAGACCATATGAACAGTACTCTTTTCTCTGTAGCACCTTTCACAGAACATAATCGAGGAAAGAATCAGTGGGCAAGATTGGATTTTCTTCTCAGAAAACCTCATCTTTTTGTCCCAGAGTTTTCATTGATTCTGCTGAAAAGGGCTGTCATCCTTATTCCACGTCAGTGCGTTTGGAGTCCCGGAGCCTGAAGATATTGCTCCTTCTCTTGCCTTCTTTTCCGCTCAGATTAAACTATTCTTTCTGCTCTCCAGCCTTGAGACTGGCCGCAGCGGTCTGGCAGGGGATGCTCATTTTGCGTCTCCTTGCGAGCTGCTTAAGGGATGCACTAAGACGCAGAGCCTCCTGAATAGCAGTGGCCTCTCGTCACATTGTTTTCCCTGTTCTTCCCTGCCCCCTCCCTCTCCGCTGCTCTCAGCGAGACGGTGACGCAGTACAGCATAGTGAAAGCAGAAATGTCAATGAAGGAAGAAGGGCACACTGCGCCTGAATCCGAGAAAATACCGCTAGGGATGACAGCTCAGTGCGGAGCCGAATTATCTGACGACATTGCAGAAAGACAGCTTGGGCTGGAGCCCATCATTTGAGTATCCAGCTGCGTAATGCGAATGTTTAATCAGCCTACTGTGTTGTTAGGTGACATTTAAATCCTCATTAATATTAATGCAAGGGGATGCTGATTTCAGAACAAGGTCTTGTCTGATGCGCTGGGAACTGTGAGCTAGATCTGTGGTGAACAGGAGAATGCAGATTTTCTGTGCGTGTGTGTGTGAGCCCCTGCGCTCGCTCTTCCTTTCCCCTGATCTGCGCGACCGTCGTTTTTAGCTGCGCTTCGTCCTCACCGAGGGTGAGATGCCCCGTTGTCATGGCAACGCATGAACGTTGAGGTGTTCACCTGGGGGTGAGGGTCCGTCTCGGGCGATTCGTCCTGTGGCCGGGGGGGGGGGAGCGCGCGCACGCTTGGCAGTATTGTTCATACCGCTGTTTCGGGGGGACTGCCGCCCCCCGCTCCTCGTGCGGGAAGGTGTCTGGGGAGGCGGATGCTTCAGTAGTTCAGTGATGGCAGGTGCGCCTCGGCCACACGCCCTTGCTTGTGCATGACAGAGCAACTGGGGCAGTACGGGCCTCCTGCTGTGGAATTACTGGAGTTGAGTAACACGGAGCTCCGCAGAAGACTACCGAATGGCATGGTAAATACAGAGCTCATGTTATTGCTGTTCTTAATTACTGCCATTAGGGCTGTGTCATTCTTGATGTAGCAGTGATAGCATACTGTTCTAATCGAAATGTATCTACAAAGCTTAGTCTCTGCGATATTGTCTTTGTTTTCAATCAAAATTCAGTCTTTTTATGATTCTCATCAGATGTTAATCACAGTGGTTATTTGATCATGTTTGCTGTGGTCCTGTTTTGTAAAGCGGATCACTGGACAGGGTTTTCATCCTGGAATATCTCACAGGGCTCCTTTTTTATGTAGGCTACTCTTCAAAGTCAAATATGACATATTGGCTTAGTCATTGAAGAAAACAAGAGCACGCCATGTGCAGTATTTGCTGTTGTGGACTGCACATCCTGTGTCAAAGTAATAAGGTTAGACTGTAAATGTATTCAGTTGTGTGTAAAGATAATGTCAATGTAACTGGATTGGTGTCTTGAATGCCTAGATGATACTAATCGTACAGTTAACATACAGTTTTTCCTCATTTTAGATTTTCCTTTGTAATTTCTAGATCATTTTTAGACCCATCGCACTGGATGTGTGCAGGAATAAACAATGCTGTAAATGCTTACTTCCATAGTTTAATTCATTTCACATTTACGTACAGTGCATATTCTTAACAATGCTGAGTAGCAGGATTACCTTCAGCTGTAAAAATCGACCACTACCTTTTACAGGAGCCTGTGAGCTTTTGGCAGCTGTTCTATGGTCCCATTCAGCTACTGGTTCCTGTTTCAGGGCAGAGTGTTTGACACTGAAAGACTGTGTGACTTTGGGATCTGTGGTCCAAGCAGATGTGTGCATCAGAGAGATTGGATGTGTTCTGTGTGTTATGTCCTTTTCCCAGTCAGCTACTTAGCAGGCGGGGAAATCAAGGCCAAAAGAAAGACCTTTGCAAGGTAGTAAATAATACCAGGCAACCATCTTGTGATTGTTTGACTAGACTTTGCACCTGAGTACCCTGATTTCTATTTCGAGGTAAATATCTCTTTAGGCTTAATCAATGGAATTTGATTTTATCATTGATGTTTTTGAAAGGTGAGCTTTCTAAAGCTAGATCAAATGGTTTACTGGAACCCCGTAAATGTTTTTCAGAGATGGGGTATTTAATTGACAGCGTTGTTTGTGGTAAATGAAGGCTGCCTCCGTTAATTATTGAAAGTCGCCAGTACACAGCGTGGAACTGTTTAAAATGTGGACATGAGTTCCAGGCCTTTTTGTTGCGTTCCGTTTCTACTAACACGTCTTCTCTTTGCTTGCCACTTTAGGAAGAATGCAAACAAATCTTGGCTCGCCAGAAGTCCAACTCGCAGTCCGACTCTCATGATGATGAGATTTCTCCTCCACCCCCAAATCCAGTGGTGAAGGCCCGGCGCCGAAGAGGGGGTGTCAGCGCTGAGGTCTACACTGAGGAAGATGCTGTGTCTTATGTCAGGAAGGTGAGGCAGGCCTCTGTCACTCAGGCCCTGTTATCTCTCCTGCTCATAAGAGCCAAGAAGCTTGATGCAGAAGCATATAAATAAGACTTTGACTTGGAGTGGTCAACTCTGGGCCTTGAAATTCCAGCAGCTTTGAATAAGTCTGTTAAATTCGTTACGATCTTGGGTTGTTAACAGACAGTAGGCGAAGGGACATTAGCAGGCTCAGGTAAGCAAATGCTTCCCTGGGACAAAATTCAGAAAACCCTGCGACTCACCTGGGGCTGATGTCCAGTTAGACTCATTGACAGACCGAAAGGTCACGTTATTGCTGTAACCAGGCTAAGTAAATGTGGGCATACATTAGCTAAAAATCAGATAACTTTGTTTTTTTTTTAAGAATTTAGTTATCTTGAAATAGATTACTCTAATTGCCTGTCTCATGGCAGGTCTATCTGAACGCTTAAGTTTTATCAAAGTTTATACAGCTGGGAGCTGATCCTAGTATCAGTGCTTGCTTTGCCTAGCCATTATGCTTCATAATAATTGCATTTATCATGATCCTTTTGGTTCACATTCTTTCTGGAAATTCAGATTAAATCTTTGATATGCGCTTTCAGATTATCACTGATATACTTCCTCCACAAATAAAGAGAGCATTTTTTAATTGAAGTTTGTCCCTTAATGTAAATATAGAATTTATACCTTTGGCTTAATAGATTCTCATGGCTGTGGTTCTTCGACAACAACATATAAACAATGGAAGCCGGGTTCAGATTTTACTCTTGAGTCTACACCTGAGATGTTTTCTCTTGCCACGATATTTTGTTTTCTATGGAAAGGTCTTAATCTGCTTGTCGTGACTAGAAAAACTGAAAACTACCGAAAAGCATCAGTCAGAAAACGTTTCCCAAAATACACAAAATAACAACTTTTGTAACTTCTAAATAATATTACAACATAGGATACTACACGATACAAAGTGCATTAACACTAACATGTCACAACAAACGCCATTATTATATGAACATGCGTAATGTTTTTACTTTTAACTGAGTGGGGTGATAGGAAGTTACTGTTGTAGACAGATTAGTATGTCAGTCGTTTCACACGCATGCAGCGTAAAATGAACTAGATTCAATTTATAAAGAAAAGTTTCAAACGGGGCTTTTCTTTTCAATAACATGAAGTTACTTTATCACACTTTTGATTCTACCGGATAAAGCATTTAAGGTAATAAGATCATTCAAAAATATTTAACTGATTATAGGTCATTATGACAAGATAGAGTGGGCCAAGAGCAGGGGTGAGTCTTCTGCAGGAAATACTGTATATATATAGACTGGCAAACATATCTGTGAGTAGTGCACACAGAAAAAATAAACTGGGCCACAGTAAGTAGGTTTAAACATGTAATTGCACACACATTGAAATATCTCTCCTAAATTTTTCTTCGTCACTCCTCCATTTTTTGGGTCTGTGACATTCCAGCCATTGTTTCTGAATTATAGAATTAAATGGAGGGTTTGTAAAACTTATATACCATAAAACTGAATTCCGGATCTTTAAAGAGCCTACTATATTAAAATGATGACATTCTAATCGGCCAGCCGGGGCTTCACTGGCGGATACAGAGAACTGGAAAAGAGAAAGCAGCCCCTTCCCGGTGCATGATGAATCCTCACACCTGTCAGAGGGATGCAGTTCTCTTCCAACTGCAGTATTACTCTGTCCTGCAGAAGCTCTGATACTTTAATACTTGTTTCATTCTTCTTCTTCGTGGTTGTTCTTCAGATTGACAAGACACTGATCTTGAGGAATTTAAACACGAGCGTTCTGTTTAATAATCCATCCGTGGTCCTGGAGCTGCTTCTGATGAAAATCAAAATGAAAAGCAAATGCAATATTTTGTATTCTTTGGGAGGCGGGCGTTTCTATTCTTTTTTATTTTATTTTTATGGCTGCTAGAGCACAGGCTTCCTTGTGGTCATCCCTCACATTTGTAGGAGGGTCAGGTTCTGCAGTGAAAGGCCTGTGATCGGCTGCCAGGGGCACAGCCGGGCACAGCTGGGGCCACACTCCTGACTGTGTAGATTTTATTCCCTTGAAGGACGAAGGTCACTTGCCCCTCCAACAAGGGACAGTACAGCTGTCCTCAGCAGCTCAAACACACTTTCTGCTTCTTCATTTCTGCCCAAAAACGCAGCAAAGAAGAAAATCTCGGCAGGATTGTATTAGGCCTTTTTTGCTTTAGTATACTGTCGGGATATTCTTTGATAAATCATTATTGAGAGAATTTGTATTAGAATGGTCATTTAACTAAGCAGGTAGAACAAGATAAAACATACATAGCATGAGGTATGCATCAGATAGAATTACAGACCATAAATCATTGAGCCAAACTGAGGAAACATAATTATTGCATTACAATAATTAGGAATCACTGGAACTACTGGAACTACAGTTCTGTTTTTCCATTCAAAGGGATGCTTTATATACCATATGAACCCTATAGCTAATTCTAATCAGATAATGTTTGGTAGTCCACTGTGAAATGTTTTTCAGTTCCCATGTCAAAGTTGACTTAGCAACAGATACAACATGCAATTTCCAACACACAGCTGGCAGATCAGTTATGTAATTTTGTCATTGCCACATGGCAAGTTTGAACTTGACTGTTATTCGTGGTCTTGTGTTGGATTTTGCATTTCATTATTTTGTTGTGTGGAATGCTGCTGTATTCTGCAGAATGAGTAACAGATCTGAGCCAGCATATAGAATTTATTTGAAAAAAAAAACCCCACAAGAACAAAAGCATGTCAGATTCCCTATACAGGCTTACTATTTATATACATTTTGCTGCTTATAATGGAAATGAACAATTTCAAATTTCAAATTTTTCCACTGATACTGTTTTACATACAGCTCTCATTTTCTTGAATGGTACATTAATGTTTTCCACTCAGACAGGATTATGTTAAAAAATCAAATGATTTAGTTTATTCAGATTCAGATTATTCTGAATTGAGATTAATTTTTCAATTATTCAAATAGATTATTTACACAATTCCAACAGGGTTGTGCTTTTACGGTTTTATTTCAATAACAGTGTCTCATCTTTACACTGTTACACATCACTCTGCAACCTAATAGTAATATCCCATAATTACGTAAAACATATGATGAGATTCTAGTTCTAATTGTTATCCAGCATGTTAAAATTAGTTACTGTTATCTTGATTACATTTTTCTAATATTATACTGGTATAGAAAGCACCTTTGGTGAAGCACATTGTTGAACAGAGGAGGCAAACACTGCACGCAGGCTCTGTCTAGTGCTGAGCTGCCTGTCCACCCTGCCATTAGATACCAGCATAGTGAGAAACAGGCAGCACACGGACAAAACTGCTGATAGAGACTGTATCATATGAAGTGAAAGATCTCCCCCCGAAATGTCTGCCAAAGTGATGAATTGTAAAAATAAATAAAATGAAAACTATACATAGTGTCCATGGAGATGCACAACCAGTAGGCAGATTTTTTCGGCTTGGTTTCTACATGATTACTATACAAATTACAGTATTTTCATTAGGCATGACCCTAACCCTAACCCTAACCCTTCCTCACTGAGACCCACAAGCCTGCAGCTCCAGCTCAGCCCATTGCTGTTGGGAAGTCCTTTCCGTACTCTCACTCTCCTTCCTGTCACCCTGGAGCCTCCTGGCTGCTCTTATCAGTCTTGCCCTTGGTCCAGGGGAGTGGTCAGTTCCACACAGAGCCTGTCCTCTCCTCTCCCTCATGCGGAATCTCACTGCCACTGGCTGCCAATTATTCAATCAGCCCAGGTGTGTCTCATTTTGCACCGGCATTTCTCCTGAACTTTTCTTTTCTCCTTTTCTCTTTAGGCCACCTCTCAGCCCCTCGCAGAACGTATCTCGTGATAAAAAGGTTTTCAAAGCACTAACTGGCTGTCACTGCAAAGCTTCTAGCAAAATAGTGTGTAATGATACATTCTGCCAGGAACCACAATGCACGTCTGTGCACTATATTCAAGGAGATTCAGCTTCAGTGGACACTGAAAGTGCTGTAAATAGCTTCATTAGTTGGAGAGTCGTGTCATGTCATTTGCCAAACCGCTTTGTACCATATGGTAGCCGGAGAGTGTCCTGGCTAAATTTCTACCTTAATTACCCTTTAATGCAGTTCTTACAGTACCTCTTTACCTAAACATATGTAGCTCATATAATTTTTTATAAAAATACTTTATTTTTCATAAAAATCCTTCATTTTAACAATATAAGTGCAGGGAATTGAATTAATATTAATAGACAAAGCTGCTGCATCCTGGTAAGGGGGGGAAATATTTTACACAAACTGAACTTTATTTTATCTCTGTCCCTACATTTGCCAAAGTCATTCAATTTTTTTAAACTCTCTCCTGGGTGCAAATGGGATTGTTTTCTAGAAAGGGGAACAGTTCCTTAAATGTCAGAAAACGTGTACGAAAGTCAACCCATTCCACCCTTTTCCTCTCTTTTGTTTTGTTTATCAGTTCAAACAACAATACACTTCACTGTTCAAAAACATTGCATAAAGCAATTTTATGTTTACAATAAATCGTGCAAAAACATGTCACTAACCATTGATGAATAATGCCACTTAACCATGCCAGCCCCACATGTTTACAGTGCTCATTTGCAGGTGGGAGGGAGTGGGAGGGTACAGGGTAGATACAGTGCTTAAATCTGTGATCTCCAACTTGTGGATAACCTCAGCTTTTAATTATTGATTTGATCCAAGCGTTTGATTTATCTGCTCTTTTTATATTCCCTGCTGCTACCAGAATGATTTCTAGAGCATGGGAATGCTTGCAAACCAGAGTAGGCCATTTGGCTTGTCTTGCTTATTTTGCAATTTAATAGCTAAGTGAAACCAACATTTCATCCAGCTATTTCTTTAAAAACGTGCCTCAGCCACCTGTCTGTGTGTTCCAGATACCCACACCATTGTGTGAAGAACTGTTTCTTATTCTCTAATCTACATTTTTTCCCATTTCCAATGGTGGCCCCTTGTCCTCATTTTACTTCAGCGTGTAAATGGGTTAACTGGGTTAACTCTGTTTATACCCCTTTGTACTTGAATCAAATCTTGCAAACTCCCTTGTCATAGCTCCATTAATCTATATGTGACAATCCGCTGAGACAAAAAATCATTCTTCTTGTTCTTCTTTGAACTTTTTTTAGATTATAATATCCATTATGTGGCATTGTTGACTAAAACTGAACACAATATTGTAAGTGAGGACTTGCACAGCAGAAACAATCTTCCCTGTTTAAGTGATTTTAGCTTTCTTCTATACGCACAATTATTCTTTTTGCTTTTTATTGCTTCGCCACATTGTCGTGCTTAACATGGAAGAATCTACAAAACCTTTTTGCATAATTTGCATTAGGTTCTGCCTCAGATACAGTATCCTTTTCTGTGTGCAATTCTTACTATACGTTTTTCAGCTGCACCTTTTCTATCTTTCAATTTTACACCATCTGTACAATACTTTCTTCTTTCGAAATATTTTCTTAATATCTCCTCTAACACTATGGCATACCTATCGATTTTCAAAGTTTGTTACATGTTTTAGCGCCAATTGTTTTGGCGGTCAAGACAGAACGTTTGTCTCCTTGTTCAAAGCCCTTGCTGGGGAGTTTAGAGCTCCAGACAGTGCAGGAGCTCAGCTCCAGGATGTGCAGCACTGTGCTGCAGAGTATTGGAGATTACCAACCCATGGTGGTGAGAATTATTGCTGCAGATTTTCAGAAAACCCATCATTGTTTTGGTAATTACAGTTTTTTTTCTCAAAGTAAATAGCCCAACTGCAGATGCTGGTCTGAAAACGATGCTGGGACTGACATGCCTGCCTTTTTTATTTTGCGTGGTCGCCTTCATGGTAAACCATCTGGCGTAGTTACTTAATTAAAGCCTGCCTTGTTTTCCTGTGCCAAGTGACATTTTTCCTCAGCCTACTCACTCTTCTTACTTAATGCCATGTGTGCAGCATTATTTATCCGTATACGGTTCTTGAGAACCTCCGCATTTCTAGATTTTCAGAAACACTGCTAGTGTCCTGCACATACAGTACACCTGTTTACTAGTGTTAATTAAAGTCTGATACTCAAGTGAAGACCAGCTATGTTTTACACTCTCAAAGACAGAGGCCAATAACGAGGTGTTTTATACCTCTGTAGTCTATACAAAATACCTGCATGACATAAAAGAGGCACAAGAGCCTACCACTGTGCGAAAAACTTGCACTTCAGATAGCATGTTTCTTAAATACTTTGACAAAATGAAATGAAAATGAGCATCTAAACCTGTAGCACAAAAGAAAGCCTAGCACCTGGAGTTGTGATGTTAACTGGATATTTGCATTGTTCCTTGATATAATTCAGAGTCCTCTTGTGCAGTGGCAACTCTTTGATCATATTTCCACAGGTAATACCAAAGGACTACAAAACAATGACAGCACTGGCCAAGGCAATATCTAAGAACGTGCTCTTCGCACACCTTGATGACAATGAGAGAAGGTATGGCTTTTCAAGCACAGCGTTTATTTTTCTGTCTGGTACTATATTTACATTCCTTCAGAGCATACAGGTACCCCACATCTTTTCTGCATGCACAGATTTTAGGATTTTTGCAGAGAGATACAGTATATCAAACTACAAAGTATCATTACTACTGAGAATGTAGCTCAAGAGATACCATTAAATGCTCAGTGCCCACTTATCCAAGAAAAAAATGATAGTGCCTTCACATCTAGTCTATTACTTGTAGAAGCAGAAATACATTTCATAAACCACTCATTTTATTAGTTTGTGTAAGTTTGTGTCTTTAATTTTAAAGATTTCTTTTGGACGGTTACCAGCTAGAGTAAACTCCAGAACCAACAGCCTCCTACCGTTTAATCGCCTATTATCTGTGGTTGTGGGAAACTTCCAGGTGGCACGGAATGCAGTGCAATATTTTTATTAGTGAAGAGAATGGGTTATGCGGAACAGACCTTGCAGAAACCTGGATTATTTCAGAGTCAGTTCAAACTGTTTTTCTGTCTTAGCAAAAAGTATTTTCTTCTTACCCATGTTTTTCAGTTTTGCCGGAAAGAACGGAATCTCTCTAAATAATTACTTTAATTGATGAATCCTAGAGATGTATAATTGTATATACTTAATCTTTACCCCATAGGTAAAGTTATATTAGTGGGATTTTGATCTAGTTACTATGAGCAGGCTAGTTAGTCTTTTATGGCATTTAAACTAAACAGCAGAACCATAAATGATCTGCCAAGGCCAGACTAAAAAGGCCAACTTATTTTATTTGAGCATAGATCCTGTTTTATTTGAGCAGGAAGTCACTGGAGGTAGGGGCGGACCAGGAGATGAAACATCAAACTGACTCTTTAATGCTGGTTCACCTGCCAATTTTACTGGAATGCCAATGTCATGCGGTTTGTGATTAATGGCATGTGAAAGCATTCCCCTTCTCTTGTGCAGGTGTACAGTCTAGAGACCAGAAACCATAGAAGGAATAAGGGTTAGCCCAGACTTTAAAAAAATAGTCAGACTGCCTGTTAGTCTCTGTATCTTGAGAAGTCTGAACCCCTTTCCTTGTGTATTATAAAAATAAGAGTGGCTTGACATCAAATATTAAGCCACTAACTTTAAGAACTGTAACCATGATGCTTTCCTGTGAATCCTGTTTGAATAATTAGCTGTGTTGAGGGATGCTTTTATTAATCGGACAATAAGAATATGGATAATTACTATATCTAATGGGTGGTTCACCCATGTTGTTTTCACCAGAGTGAAAGTGCCGGTGTTTTTTTTTTTGCGATTCACTCAAAGGATTTGTTCACTAGATAATCCCCCTGGTTCATTACTCACAAGAACAAGTTATGCGATGTAAACATTCCAAAGTTGTGTCCCATCTTTATTGAATATAAAAGAAACACTGTCTGTTCCAGTGGTATGTGAATTCACAATTTTTCAGTGTGTTTAGAAAATGTCAGGAATGTTTAATATAAGAGCATGTATTTTGAGATGTAAATGGTTCAGTTGAAGTTATACCTGCTTTCTTTCACTGATTGGTTTGCATCACTTTCAGTCTCTATCAGTAGAACAGTTTAGGGTTCTCTCTCTTGGCTTGGCTTGAAGTACCAGTGTCAGGACTGGGCATAAATTATATTTGTTTTTTCAATATCATTTACGATAAGTAAAAAGGTGTCTTTTGCCTCTTACAAAAAACAAAATATTTAAAAGACATATTGAAAAATGGAAAAAGTATGTTTATAGTGATGTTTATACTAATGTACCGAAGTAATTGTAGTGTTTTATGTATAGTCAGTGACAGGGTGTATGCTACAATATTAATTTATTGTATGTCATTGATTTAAAACAGGGAACTCTTGTTATGGTCTCAGAGAGCCCAACAGCATTTTGTTTTATAGGTGACCCTAGATTGCCAGTAATCTATACCTGTAGTGTTCCTATTTTGTAACTATTTGTATATAATCGATCGTTTAGGGAAGTAAATTATTATTCAATCAAGAAAAACATGGTCCTTGAGAGCTGACGAATATGTATTTGCTCAAAATGAACTCTTAATTTCTTAGATTAAGAAGTCTCCGGCTTGATCGCAATTAGACTGGTCTAAACATTTAGAAACTGTCAGTTTAATGGTGACCTGTAACACCTGCTAGATTAGGGAACTCCAGAGCCAGGGTGAGAGACCACTGGCTTAAAAGAATGGTGAGTATTGTGTCTTTTATGGAATAGGTAAAGGTTCATTCCATGCTGAAAGGTAAAAAAAAAGAAAAAGGCTTTGTTTTGGCTGTGGAGAACTCTTCAGGTGTCCAGGCTCCACAGCCAGAAGATGGTGTTTGTTTTCATGGAATGAACCTTTCTTTACCTGTTCCTTAGAAGCCTTGGGTCGATGATGCAGCTTCTACTCGAACGTCTTACGTCTCTTATGCTTTGAATGTTCTGTATTTAATTTGAACGTCTCTCTGGACAGTTCAAAGAAGATTGACTGAAATTATTCCTGGCCTTGGAGGAATGTCACAGTTGGACATGCTAAATGAACTGAATCCTGTTAGATTAAGTCAAGAATATGTGGGAATTTCATTCAAGTATTCAAGACCTGGAAGGTTATATGGAAAACGTCCCACATATGGGACTACCTCTGGCTCAGCAATGAAATAAGAGCCTAGGTCAGGAGGACATACAGTATGCTTCTATATGTGCCTCAAGAAGGGGTTAGACGAGATTCCACGGCCCATTACTATCAGTCAAATGATAGAGATGGATCAAATGGATTCCTCATGTTTGAAACCTTTATTATGTTTGTTCTATATATGACGTGAATCAAATAGTTACACCCCAGACAATTTCAAACCTAATGATAATTTGCAGAACAATGTGAGTAGTGTAAGTAAGTCTTAGTATTAGGGGTTGGCAAACTTTATTGTCACCATGAGATTTCTGAAATCAATGAAACTGTTGTGGCAACAGGGCTTTTTTTATGTGCCACATGAAATAAAACAAGCAAAAACCTTGCAAGAAAAGAAAACACGTTCTAACTTCAAGGAGGCATGTATAAATACCTTTTCTTTTTTCTAAAACACAAGTTCTAGGTGCGGGTGATTTTCCTGAAGGTGTGGTGACAGTTTGGAAGTCATGTTCAGGTTGGATATCTAGGTTCACCGAAGTGCTCTCAACCCAGACAACAGGCCAACTGGAGAATGGACTCGTTCTGCTCTGTGGTTTATCGCATGCAGAAGCTGCGTCAAGTGGTGTCACATGTCAGATGAAGCCGGGATACAAACACATGACCCTGGTCGTCTTTCCTTTATAATGACCACAAATGGCATGAACCTGAACACCCCTTATTGTCTTGTCTGGCTGATCGATTGCAGTCGAGCGCTGATGTGCTCAACAGCACCATTCAGAGGCATGGCCAAAGAAAGGGCAGGGAGATAGACCAGAGATAGGAAACACGTAAATAAGGAGTGGAAATGAATCAGTCATGGCCATCACTGCAGGGAATTATGGTTGAGTATCTTGCCTCCTTAATACCACATAAGACTTTTTTATTACTGATAAATGCAGTTTGGCTACTAGAAAGCACAGTTTCTATTGTGTATTTGGCTCCAAAGAGTGAGGTAAGTGTTGTATAGAATATTAACAAATCTTGATTACTGTTTTTTCAGTCTATTAGAATTTGTACTCATAAGAAAGCATCCATTTAGGAGAGCATTTTCTATGGACAGATGCATTAAGCAGGCAAATGTTAGAAAGAGGAAACACTTGGATTTTACAGCAAGTCAATATGCAAAGATAATACAGTATTCTGCCTCTGTACATAGGAGTTGACTTCTCTTCTAAGTTTCTCTTACTCCATGACTGCCTGGGATTAAATTCAGATCTTTAGGTTGTATGGTTTCAGTAAAACTACTGTTATGAATAGGTTGAGGTACATTTATTTAAAAAATAGGATCAGGTATTTTTTTAAAAGACATGAAAAAATGTACTGAGACATTAGTATTAGGGGTTAGCAATAAACAGTTGTTTTTTTGTCAAGCTGTGATTTCTAAAATCATTTAAACCACTGGGCAACAGCAGTTTTTTTTGTCAAGCTGTGATTTCTAAAATCATTTAAACCATTGGGCAACAGAAGCCTTTTAATTATGTAACGTGAAAGAAAATAAGCAAAAACCGTACAAGAACAAATACATTCCTGATGTAAAATTTCTGTAGGCTACAATTCTGTTTCTGTGACATATAATAAAGACGTAATTAAATAATAGTCCATAAATCATAAACTTTCATAGAGAAAATAGATACTAAATTAGAAATGTATTCATGTTCCTATTGAGTAGGTGTTCTAATTAAGAGGGAAACAGCGTAAGTATAGTATAAGAGAAATAAAAGACCTACAACCCTCAGTGGTAAAGTGTATTTGTGGCATCCACCTTCTTCTCTCAGTCCGCTTGTTTTCAGACTTTCAAAAAGGGGCAAGAAAAAATATCACACACCCACACCTTTTTTTTGTTTTTACCACAATTCAACAGTGCCAATCTTTATTATTTGATCATGAGTCACTTGTTCATTTACAAAATATACTCAAGATGTTAATGTGAAAATTATAATTGGATGAAAATATCATCTAGAGTGCTGTTAAAAGCAATTCTAAAAACATTTATTAGATACCATGCTCTGGGATATGAAGGAGATATCCGCTCTGAATACAGTACAGTCAGGGTAGCCTTCATATGGGCACAGGAGAAAAAAAACCCATCTGAATGTTCATCAATGAAGTGAAATTCCTGTAGTCTAGAATTTGATTGCTATGACAAAAAAAATACTTTTTTCAAAGGCTGATAAGATACAATTAATGTTTCCCAAATAGACAGGTCATTTGATAAGCGTACAAAATCTTCTACTCTTCCTCATCTGCAGGACAGGATGTTCACATTTCATGACAAGTTTGAGGGGGGTTGGTGGGAGGCAGATCGATTTGTACATATTTA